TGACTATAGTAAGGATTCAGGAAACATTTCTTCTGGAAGTTTAATACAGATGAGAGGTGAAGAAGATGAAAAGACATAAGATGATCATATGGCTCTTCAAAGTTGCAAGCTTAAAATCATAAGTTGCTACACTGATATCTGAGTAAACCTAGAGAAGAGTGATCAAGAAGAAAAAGACCTGGTTCCCCACTTTGGAGTCAAAAGAAATTTGAATAAGCATTTATGCATTCATGAGAACATCATTTGCATAAAAGAAAATGCATTGTATTGATACATTCAATTTCATTCGCGTTTGGTACATAAACACATGATTTTTACAGATCTTCCAGTGAAAAGAGAAAATCCATGATGTCAAAATCTCAGCTAATGAAAGCTAGAATTCAAACCTTAAATACAGGGAATCATGTTTAGAGAGGCATAACCTAAAGAACAGGAAGACCCAATCCATATAAGAAGTGTTACTTTGAAGTGGGGCATGTTGCTTGACCATTAAGTCATTTTATAAGTTAAAAAATGAGAAAAGTTTCTCATTTAAATTTGAAAATTGAAATTTTTAAAAAGTAAGAAAAGTTTCTTACCTGGTAAACTATTTCCAAAATTAGTAAGTCCATCGGGCCATCAGTAAGTCTATCGAGCATGATGCTTAAATCCTTTAGGTCATCTGTAAGTCTTTTGAGCAATACGATAAGTCCTTCGGGCCATCCATAAGACCTTTGGGCAGGATGTTTTCACATGTTTCTTCAAAAAATGAGAAAGGATTCTCATTTAAATTTGAAAATTGAAAATTTTGAAAAATAAGAAAAGTTTCTTACATAATAAACTATTTTCGAAATTGGTAAGTCCTTCGTGCCATCAGTAAGTCTTTCAAGCATGATGTTTAAATCTTTCAGGTCATTTGTAAGTCTTTCGAGCAAGATAATAAGTCATTCGGGCCATCCATAAGACCTTCGGGCAGGATGTTTTCACATGTCTCTCGATGAATGAGAAAGGTTTCTCATTTAAATCTGAAAATTAAAAATTTTGAAAAGTAAGAAAAGTTTCTTACTTAGTAAACTATTTCCAAAATTGGTAAGTCCTTCGGGCCATCAGTAAGTCTTTCGAGCATGATACTTAAGTCCTTCGGGCCATCAGTAAGTCTTTCGAGCATGATACTTAAATCCTCCGGGTCATCTGTAAGTCTTTCAAGCAGGATGATAAGTCTTTTGGGTAATCCATAAGACATTTGGGCAGGATGTTTCACATATTTCTCAAAAAATGAGAAAATTTTCTCATTTAAATCTGAAAACTGAAATATTAGAAAAATATGAAAAGTTTCTTACCTAGTAAACTATTTCCAAAATTGCTAAGTCCTTCGGGCCATTAGTAAGTCTCTCGAGCATGATTATTAAATCCATCGGTTCATCCGTCAGTCTTTTGAGCAAGATGATAAGTCCTTCGGGCCATCCATAAGACCTTCGGGTAGAATGTTTTCACATGATTTTCAAAAAATTAGAAAGTTCCAAATTTTCTCATTATATTTTTTATAAAAAAAATATAAGAAGAAAAATGAAGTGAAAAATAGAAACTAAAAAGAGAAAGAAGAGAATAATTAAATAAACCCTCAGACGCACTAATTATTGACATATATGTCTTTTGCATGATTATTAGATATAAGAGGAAATAAAATATTCTCGGGTATGGAGAAGTAGATCAAGCGATTAAAAGAACCTGCACATGTAATATTGGGGAAAATTAAACAAATAAAGTTTTAGATCCAGAAAAATAAACCATTCCATTAAAAGATGGAGCGGATTAATAGAGGATCGAAGAAGAGTAGTGAAGCCATAATTGGGTTACAACCGAACCCAATAAAATTAGGCTATCTTTTGTCTTTTCTTTATTATTATTTCACAACAACAAGCAAAGAGAGGCAATTGTAATACCCTAATTTTTCCTGGGTTAACAGCCTCATTACCCGGACTGTACATGGTTCCCTTTACAGCACCGGTCAGCTCATCACCGCAACACTAAATTTACGGTAGTAGCAACTTTAGCATGAAAATAGCAAAATGAAAACTAATTCCCCATATTCAAAAACAGCAGAAGATCATGCAAAATAGAAAAACAACAAAGATTGTAATTAAGAAACTGTAATTTCTATCGATTGGTAAAATTGGGTATAAGGAACCTGAAAAACATTGTAAGGTCTAACCTTCTTTCCCTAGAATTGAACACAGAAGCAATAAGAAAGCATTGTTTTGGTATTCTCTTTTCCGTCTCCATTTTTCAATAAGAATTGGGGTATGTGTGTGTTAAAAAATGATGAGTAAAGAAAAAAACGTCTTGTTATATTGATAGGTTGGGTCTGTAGCTAGAGTCCCTCACTGCGTCGTTAGTCGTCCGAATAGAGAGTATGAGGCTTGAGTGTTTTAACGTTAGGGGCGTCGAATCTAAGCATGCATATGTTGTTGAGGCTAGTTTGGGTATTATTCTAAGCTCCTCGGATGAAGAGAAGAGTGGTCGGAGCAAGTTTAGCCACCGAACTGTAATGGCCGGTGAGGAAAGAAGGGTCATGGGTTTGTGGCTCTCGGCCAAGGCTAGAGATGAGAGTAAAGGTGAGAAAAGTTCTTTATGGGGTTTTATTTGGGTGGTCATTAAGTATCCCGTGCCTTGGTCGGTGTTCGGGGAGGGAGAAACCGTCGTAATGGCCTTGACACCCTGGCATACAGCCGTCTGTGTTTAGGTTGGGGAAGAAGAGAACGAAAGAAAGTAAAAATATGATTATTTAGGGTTTAGGATCATTTACCTGAAGTGGAAATAATTGGGTTATATCATTTTCTTTTTGGGATAATCGCGTAGAGGCTCTCCCTCTTTCAGTATTTTCTTCGTTTTAGCCACTACTTTTGTAATTAATCACGCTTCAGTCCTCAAACTTTATGCGTGTATTTGCGAAATGGTCATTGTTTTACGGGTTAATCATGAAGAGGTCCCTATAAGTTAGACGCCTTACTGAATTCTACACACTAAGGCTAGGGGAAAACTCTCTTTAGGTCCTTCTATCTTTGTCGTGTTTTTACATTTAGGTCACTAATTTCATCTTTTATTTGTTTGTTTTGATTTAAGCCGCATGTTTTGTTTTATTTTATTTTGGTCACTTGTCATGTTATTTATTTATTTATTTCAAATTATTCTGCTGGTTTCTATTATTCTTATTTATGTTACTATTTTAGTCATAATTTTCTTGCTATTTTTATTTTATTCCATTTTTGGTCCCAAATATATGGGCTTATTACACTGCCAATGCTTGTAATGTTTGACTCTTGTTTTATGTGCTTAGTTATTTATTTAATTTGTAATGGTTGCCTTGATCTCTTGTTGGTTTTAATAGTTTAATCCCTAAAGTCACCATATTTATTATTTTGATCTATCATTTAAATATTTGTTAATTTTTTGCTAGTTGTAATATTTTCAAATATTATTTTTACATGAGGAATTCATAGAAACGCGCCTTAACTGACAAGGAGTGCATTTCCAAGAATTGTTCGAATAAAATAGTACCTTTTACATTCGAATGAATTTTTTTTAAATATATTTGATACATGTATTTTATCTAAAAGCTAAGGCAATATTATTTTGTACGGGGAATCAATGGAAATGCCCCCTTATCTAGGGGTGTTTAAAATTCGGTTTTAACCGAATTAACCGACCGAACCGAATTAGTTCGGTTAATTCGGTCGGCCACCGAATTAATTCGGTCGGGGAACGGTTAAGGATTTTTTTGGAATTCGGTTAACGGTTAATTCGGTTTGAAATCGGTTAATTAACCGAATTAACCTTTAAATATAATTATATTAAGAGGCCTAATCCATTTAAAATCCATTTAAAACCCAAATCAATATTAATTAATTAAAATAATATCAAAACTAAATGCAAAATGTTTGAATCAAATTAATTAGATATTATTTATAATTAGATATTATTTAAATTAATTGTAAATTGTTTTTTTAATTAAAAAAATATTAAATTCTAAAATTCTAAAAAATTTCAGTTAATTCGAAAATTAACCGAATTAACCGAAATTTATTCGGTTCGGTTAATATTTACGAAAAAAAGTTTGGTTCAGTTAACGGTTAAAGAAAAAAAAAGTTTGGTTAATTCGAAAATGGTAGTTCTGTCGGTTTGGCCACCGAATTAACCGAATGAACACCCCTACCCTTATCTGACAAGGAAGGTATTTTCGAGAATTGTTCGTGCAAAATAATACCCTTTATATTTTTTTTCTAAAGAGGATCATAATTTAAATGTATATTCAAATTTGCAAATTTCAATATTTAGATGACGTATAATCACTTAGGTACCAATTTTGGGCGCTGTGGGGTGCTAATCTTTCCCCACGTATAATCGACTCTTGAACCCTTTTTCTAAATGAATTTCTGGTTAAACGCATGCAACTTTTTATTTTTCTAAAATTATTTTTCTTAACATTATTTTAGAGGATATTTTTTAGGTAGTCGACCTGCCTAACCCAAAGGTTGATGGCGACTCCAAATCTATTTTTTATACATTTATTTTAAAACCCAACCTTTTCCAAGATTAAGTTGGATCGCTCCCCGCCATAGCCCCAAAAGGCTTAAGAATCGTTCCGACACGTTCGCAATATGCTCTAAAAAACATTAATAATTCAAAGACTGGAGCAGATTGAGCTCTCAGGTAAGTTCTGATTTTGATTGGGTTTCTGTTAGATTTTTCCGTATGTGTGCTCGTTTATTATGGATTGTAGTTTTTCAGTTATTAGTTGGAATGTGAGAGGTTTGGGAAAAAGTCTTAAATGTAGAGCCATCAGCCGGGTTTTAGAGTATAATAAGCCTAGTATAGTGTTCCTTCAGGAATTGAAAGTGGGTGTGATCTCTGATTATGATGATCGGGTGTTTAAGGGCAGAATTGACAGGGGTCTTATTTTTTAGCCGTCTATAGGAGCCTCGGGAGGTATTATATCTTTATGGGATCGAGATATTTTTGAGATGAAGAGCAAGGTTACCCATAGGCGAATTGTTGCGGTTAAAGGCAGCCTGTTGATTAACAATCTGGAGATTGGTTTTGTAAACGTTTATGGGCCTCATTCTCAAAGTGACAGATATGATTTTTTCGACCAACTTAATTATGTAATTTCAAGCTTAAATTGCCCAATTGTTGTGGGAGGGGATTTTAACATGGAAAGGTTTGTCTCTGAAAGAATTGGGGCTTCTGATTTTCCTGCTGCGAGGAGAATTTTTGAAGATTTCATCTCTTAGTGGGAGTTGTTTGATGTTCCAATTATGGACAGTCGATTCACTTGGTTTAGGGGCGGACCGGTTACAACTGCTAGTATACTAGATAGAATTTTGATTTCTCCTGAGATTGCCTGCTTATTTCCGGGACTGGTGCAGTTCACTCTTCCAAGGAGTGTATCAGACCATAATCTGGTTTTCTTGAAAGCTAAAAACCATAGAAAATTTATCCGGCCATTTAAATGGTTCAACCATTGGAGTGAAGATTCCATTCTTGTTGGTAGAATCAAGGATGTATGGGAATTGAATAGAGGTAAAAACATTATGCAGTCCCTGCTGCTTACAAAGGTCGTGACAAAAGATAGAGCAAGATCAGTTCGTGATAGTAATCCCGTCAACGTGGAAATCTTTGGGAAACAAGTTGAAGAATTAGAAAGTAAATGTATTTCGAACCCCTTTTCTAATTCTGTTCAATCCGATCTTGTTGCTTTGAAGGCTCGGTTGTGGGCCATTTTACGAAAAGAAGAACGAGAGTGGCTCCAAAAATCGAGACTTAGGTGGTTCAAAGAAGGTGATAGAAATACAAAGTTTTTCCATTTAACTGCTTCTTCTAGAGCAAAGCGAAACCAGATTAACAAACTGAAGGTTCATAATTCGGTGTTAAAACGTCAAGATAGGATTCAACAGGCTTTTGTTTCATACTTTAGGGGTTCCTATAATGACGTGAAGACAATCCCTGTAAAGATATGGGATATTTAGTTCAAGAGATTGTGTGTTATCTCTAGAAGGTTCCTTGAAAGCCTGTTTTCCGAAGAAGAGGTTTGGTTCGTAATTAATTCGTCAGATGGCTTGAGAGCGCTTGGCCCGGATAGATTTACCTTGGATTTTTTCAAAAAAAATCTGGATGGTTATTAAGGAAGATGTCATGTTGTTTTTGTCTGACTTTTACTGGGGCAAAGTCGAGGATACTACTTTTAATAAATCTTTTATCGCCCTTATTCCGAAGGTTGGTGAGGCAGCTAATCCAGAGGATTTTAGACCAATTTCTCTGGTGGGGAGTTTGTATAAAATAGTATCTCGGATTCTGGCTAAGAGAATGGCTTGTTGTCTCAAAGAAGTGCTTGGGGAAAATCAGTTCGCCTTTATTTCGTGTAAGCAGATTGCAGATTGTGTCCTGATAGCCAACGAAGTCATTGACGACCTTTCCAAGAGGAAAAAAGAAGATGTTCTATTTAAGGCTGATTTTAGTAAAGCGTATAATACCGTCGATTGGAATTTCCTGAATTTTATTCTTAAGAAGATGGGTTTTGGCAAAAGGTGGAGAAGTTGGATTCATTTCTGCATTTCGACCTCTTCTATTGTTGTTCTTGTAAATGGTTACCCTTCGGACAATTTTTCAATAAAGAGAGGCCTTAGGCAGGGCTGCCCCTTATCTCCTTTGCTTTTTAATATTGTTGGGGAGGCGCTAAGTGGATTGTTAAAGAAAGTGACAGAAATTGGGTTGTGTGAAGGTGTTGGAATTGGGTTGGGAAGTATAGATATTTCTCATATCCAATTTGCTTATGATTTGTTGGTATTTTCTTCTGCTAACATTTTGAGCTTACAAAATTTCAGTCGTGTTCTAAAAATCTTTGAGCTGGCTGCAGGTTTGAAATTAAATATGAAGAAAACTAAGATTTTTGGTATCAATGTTGACGATGGTAGGATATCTAGTTGGGCGTCTTCAATTAATTGTGGATGTGCTTCTCTCCCTACGACTTACTTGGGTCTTCCGCTAGGGCACAAAAGGAATTCGAAGTCTCTTTGGCATCCAGTGCTGGAAAAAATTCAGTCTCGTTTACAAAGTTGGAAATCTAAAGTTTTATCTTTTGGGGGCAGGCTTACTCTTATTAGATCAGTGTTATCTAATCTCACTGTTTATTTCATGTCTTTATTCCCTATTCCTAAGGGCGTTGCTGACTCTATTGATAAAGTCATCGCCTTTTCGTTTGGAAGGGTAATTCGGAGAGAGGAATTCATTGGTTAAATTGGAAATCTGTTTGTGGTCTGAAATCTCATGGGGGTCTGGGTATCTTTGATGCTCTAACCAAAAATCGAGCTCTGCTAAATAAGTGGGTTTGGCGTTTTAGCGAGGAGAATGATAGCCTTTGGAAAAAAATCATAGTTGCTAAGTACAATTACGATCCCCTTGATATTTTTCCAAAAGAGGTTTATTCGCGTAATTCTTCTTGGGTTTGGCATAACATTGTCAATCTGGTGCCTTCTCATGTGGGGAATGTGTGTGATGATTTTATATGCATTATGAGAAATGGAGAGAAAATAGATTTTTGGAATGATCGGTGGTCTAATTTGATCTCTCTTAAAGCATCATTCCCCAGAATTTTTGGATTGGCTGTTAAAAAATCTGAAAAGATATCTGATTTTGGGCTTTGGGTGAATGGTGTTTGGGAATGGAAGATATATCTTAGGAGGGGTCTTTTTGATGGGGAAATTCCTCTTTGGTCGCATTTCTTGGAGGTTATTAATCTAGCTGCTAGTTCAGCTCCTGCTCACGATAAATTAAAATGGGTGGGCTCCGCTGATGGAAGATACACCCCAAAATTTTATTGTCATTCTGTGACTTCCGAAGGCAAGTTGGTCGATCTGATTTGGCAAGTTGTATTGTGTAAATTAGTTCCTCCAAAAGTGTCTGGGTTTGTTTGGAAAGCAGTACATCAAAGGTTGCCGGTTATTCATGAACTGGTGAAGCGGGGAGTTCATGTTTCTGATCAGATTTCTTGTTCCTTCTGCAATAGTTTTCCAGAATATATTAATCATATTCTGGTTCATTGCGAGAGTTCATGGCAGGTTTGGCAACGCTGGTGTTCCGTGTGGCATATTTGTATGGTTTTTCCTTCGAATGTTAGAGACTTGCTGTAGGTTTGGTGTTCTCAAAAAATTAAAAAGTCTTTACAGGATCTATGGTCTATCGGATTCTTCGGTATTATATGGAATTTATGGTTCAGATAGGTGTGTGGGCTAATGCGCTTTGGCCCTTGCTGGTTCCGATCATTCAAGATTTTGTTCGTTGCCCCGATTATGTTTTGTTTGGTTGGAGATGTTAGTAGTGGGATTTTTCTGATATGTGTTTGTTATGATAGTTATTCGACTCTAGTTTTTTGTATTGTGTTTACTGGTGGACGTCTGCTCTGAAATGTGGGCTCGTTGTTGGGTTTGTGCGCTCTCGGTGCTGTGGCTGATCATTTTCGAGCATGCGTCCTGGAAGCTTCAGTTTCTTTTTCTCTGTGTGGTCGTGCATTTGGTTTTCTGGTGCAATTGCTAGTTGATTTGTTATCCCTTCAATCGTTGCTGCTTTTCTTTTTCTCGGTTGGTTGAATTGGGTTGGCTGTGTTTTCTTGAGCAGTTTTTTCTGTTGGAAATATGGCAGTGGGTGCAATTAGGGAGATGGTGTTTTGTTGGATGTTCTTCTAGCTCCGTTCTGGTTGCTGCTGCTGGTTGAGTTCAGGTCGTGGGTTGTGTGAAAGGGTCTGTTGCTTGTATATGATCCTTTCGATTTTCTTTTTTCATTCCTATCGTTAGTTTATGTTGGAACGGTTCTGAACTGGCCTGCGGTTCGTTGTTTGGCTAGAGTTCGGATTGTTTGTTGTTAAAGTATTGTTTGTTTTTAGATCATTTCTATCTCAAGGTATTCTCTTTTTCCTCCATTTAAGATTAGGGAGGTTTTTTAATGAGGTCCTTGAGGTGGTGTACTTTGTACCCCTTTTATACAAAGTACCCTCTTTAAAAAAAAACATTAATAATTAGAATTTTTAAAAGAACATTTTAGACATTGGATACTCGAAAATTTATACTCCTAAAAAAATCATTGCCTTCGATTTGACTTCTGATAGGTCACATATAATTTGTTAAAATCAATCAATGATCAATCACATCAAACATGTATGTTTATCCTACCAATCTACATATAGTAATCATGGATATTATCAACAACCTTCACTAAAGATCATTATAAGAAACTCTCAATCTAGATGGAGAGAGGATATCGGGTTCCAACTATTTTACATCCACCCTTCTTCCTCACAAAAGAGAGAACTTGTCATAATTACTAACAATCATCTAACACCGATTGTGACTCTTTATGCAACCCATAAGGGGTAAAGGTCCATAGCCAACACAACTTAATTTATTCTCATCGACAATTGGTGCGGCGAGAATGAAAGAATTCCTATCAGAAAAATATCATTCATGATGAACCCTTAAACCATCAATTCCTTGAACCCATTTAGGAGTGTTCATAATTTGGTTAAAATCCAATTAGTCGATCGAGCTAATTTTTTTAGTTAATCAATCGATTAATACGGTTCGAAATAGGTTAATTAACTGATTTAATCAAAATTATTAATTATTTAATATATTATATATATTATTTATATATTATGCTAATATGAGTGTTTAAATTTTGATTTTAATCGAATTAATCAAAAATATATAATATATAATATATATTATTTATAAATTTTGATTAATTTGATAACCGACTAATTAATCGAACTTAGTTCGTTTCTATTAAATTCTTTTTGAAAAATCAATTCAATTAACGGTGGTTAATGAATTTTGAGTAGTTCAACTCGATCGATTAATTGTATTAACCGATTAAATACCCTTAAACCCATTTTTTCTGAAGAGCTACACTGAAACACCAACAGTCCAACAAACTACAAATCCTTTAGGGTAAAGATAGTTTACTTTAGGATCATGATAAAGTTAAAAGAACTTAGATGCTAAAATAAAAAATATATATTTATGTTATAATAATTTAAAATGAATATTGAAAATTTAAAATACAGTGATAATTAAATTTTAATGTAGGTTAAACGAAGGGTGAGAGGGTAAGTAATGATAAATATAGATGATTTTATTCATATTTTATTCATATTTTTTAAAATTATGATTTTAAAAACAAGTACGACTTTTCATATATTTTAAAGAAATCATGAAAGATTATTAAAATAAAATTTTCATTATAATTGAGAGATAAAATGAGATATTATTTAATAATTTAATATATCGCATCATCTTATTAACAACAATTTGTGATGACTAATGACGTAGTATTTATTTTATAATAAATTAAAACCCAATTGATTAAATAATTCAGAATGATTAACCTAAAGGCTAAAAGATTTCATAGCTTTTAACTTTTCCAAAACTTCATTAGGAATACATATGTTGTTTTTAAAATGATAAATTAAGATTCATATAAAAACATTAATCCAATTAATAAATTTAAATAATATACGAGGTATGACATGCTCAAACCCTACATTGAGTGAAAGGTTATAATTCTATAATAAATGGTCAGTCCAAAATTTATACTTGAAAACTTATAATTTTAGCCATTTAAAAGAAAAAAGGAGCAGTTCATAATTCTTCCAAATACTTCAACTATTAAAAAATATTGAAATTAGTAGTTGTTATGCATTGACAAAACAAACCTATCGTAAAAGTCCTACTTTTATATTGATTACCATAATTATATTAAATAAAGTTAAACATTAAGATTATGTTTATTTTAAAAAAATAAATTAGTAAAATATTTTCATTTTTTATTAATTCAATGATTGTAAATTAATATATATATTTTCTAAATTTTACTTCTCGCATTTTCAAATATGAAATATAATTTCAGTCAATGATTTTGTTTGATCTAATAATAGTGAATGAATATAAAATTAAAGAATTTTATATTATGTAAGCATATATTATTTTCTCTTCAAAATTTAACTTAATCGGCTAAATTTAATTTTGAATGTCATAATATCGAGATGGATATATATATATATATATATATATATATATATATATATATATATATATATATATATATATATATATATATATATATATATATTATAAAATAAAAAGTAATTTCTTTTTTAATTAAAATAATTTGATATCTAATAGACTAATTCCTGCTTTGAAATGTTATACTTTTTCGTGACCCAAATTGATTTCACACCTAAGATTTGCTTGCAAATTGCAAAAGAAAACGTTATCTTGTTTTGAAGATTATTAATGACCTTTATTCGGCTTAATTCGTACGCATCGATGATTGCTTTCAACTTGAGGAAGGAAAATATATATTGATTATAACTTAATTGTTTGATTATAACTTAATTGTTTGATTATTGATTAATTAATTAATTGTCAATTTTTATTGTTACTAAGGTTTAAGGTTACTATTATAATAAAAATAAAGAAACTGGTATTATTATTAGGATAATCATCTGAGACGTTAGTGGTTGAATTATTTTCTTCACTTTTAATTCATTCTATTTTAATTTAAAATTTTGTTTATGACAGTGTCGGTGAAAAATAATTCTGCAAATAAATTTAATATTATGATAAATATTTTAAAATCTAAAAATAAATAATTAAAACTCTTAACATTATTCTAAAACCATTTATAAAATTATTTTTATCAAATATTAAATAATAATAATTTATTAATTGTAAAAAAACATGACTGTATATTAAAGCCAAAAACCTCGCCACATAATTTTTTTTTGGAAGATGCCACATAAATAATCCTTATTATTATAACGTCCACTTTTGTCTAATTTGTTGTTTTCTCTACATTTCTTATCCAACTTAAGTAGGAGTGTTCAATGTTCGGTTAAAACTGAATTAACCGATCGAATCGATTAGTTAATTTTGGGTTCAGTCGGTTAACGGTTAATGATTCTTTTTTTCAAATTTTTGATTTCGGTTAATTCGATTTAAAATCGGTTAATTAACCGAATTAACTGAAATTATTAAATATTTGATATATTATATATATATATATATATTATTTAGCTTTAGGAGTGTTTGAACCCAGTTTTTACCGAATTAACCGACTAAATTAACCGAATAAACCAAAAAAAATATTTAATATATAATATATATTATTTATAAAGTTTGATTAATTCGGTTAACCGTTTAATTAACCGAATTAAGTTCGGTTCGGTTAAATACTTTTAGAAAAAATTCGGTTCTATTAATTATTGATGGAGAAAAATTTTGATTAATAAAATTTAGGTAATTTAGTTTGATCGGTTAATCGAATTATCTGTTTCAACACCCCTAAACTTAAGCCTTTCAACACTTTCACATCCGAAGCATTTAATTGGTATTGCAGTCCCATCATGCATGTTTTTTTTAATATAAATTACATATTTAATCATTTAATTCTTATTTTAATTATTTAATTATTTTAAAAAAATCATTATTAATATTACATTTTAGTTTTAGTTTTAGTTTTCATTATATAAAAATTAATAAAAACATTTATATATTATCGTAAAATAATACTACATTATCATTAAAGAATTATTTTCTATTTTTTAGAGTTTGAGGACTTAAAGCAACTTATTAAGACATTGTATTAAGAAAACATAAATGTCTATATCATCATATATATTTAATTTTAAGATTTGTAATATTTGATTCATTAATCAGGATGACATTGAACTTGTAACATTAAATGGGATACGAGAATTTCAAGTTAACAAAGCTGCAGAATCTCTTAAATTAAGAATATTCATGCTTTTTTCAAAATGTTTCCGAAAGAATAATAATGAACTAATTTTAAAAAATAATATTTAAAGAATCTAGAATTGAAATAGCTGCATATTTTTATCACAATCTCAGAATACAGGAATAATATAAATTAAGAAAAACCACATTTAATAATCCTTTTGGAATAATTTACCTATAACAAAACAAAAACAACTATCAACTGTGATTTGTGAATGCGACGTTCGATTTTAGGAGAGATAAAAGGGCTTACGCAAAATTTCCCAGTTTCAGCAATATTGTTATGATTGCTGCCCAAAGGGTAACGCCATCCACATAAAGTACAACTATCAGTGACCGTCCAATTTGCCAAATCACCCTTCAATAGAAAACACGTGTATGGCTAAGATGTCATATGTAAATCTAAGTATTTTTTGAAAAATAAAAATAGTACCTGTCGAAGAAAACGGTCGAGTTGGTGGCTGCCATTGCTATTTTCAATCCAAGTTGTTGAGTTTTCCCACTAACCCCACTCTCCCCTATAAAACAACGTTAAAATCCCTCTCTTCTCTTTTTTAAACTTAAACACTTCATTTTTTTTCTTTTTCTTCGAAGCTTTGGCCATGGCTTCCCGACCATTCTGTCTTCTCATTTCACCCATTGTTATCTTCTCCGCCATATTTGTCTCAGGTATGAACTTCAAAATGAAATCCTTTCTTTTTTCTTGTCTCAACGAAACCCAAAGTTTTTTTTTTTTGCTTTCTTGCAGATGCTGCTGGTTCGTTCGGGATTAACTACGGTCGTGTCGCCAACAACTTACCGTCGCCGGAAAAAGTCGTTGAGCTGTTGAAGTCCCAGGGAATAAACAAAGTGAAGCTCTATGACACCGACGCCACCGTTCTGACTGCGTTGGCGAACTCCGGGATCACCGTCGTTGTCGCTCTTCCAAACGAACTCCTCGCCTCAATGGCCGGCGACCAGTCCGCCGCGGACAACTGGGTTCAATCCAATATAACCAAGTTCTACCCTCAAACAAAGATTGAAGCCATAGCTGTCGGGAATGAAGTGTTTGTGGACCCGAAAAACACGATCAACTACCTCGTACCCGCCATGAAAAACATCCACGCCTCGCTGGTTAAATCCAAGCTAGATTCCGCCATCAAAATATCTTCCCCCTTAGCCTTCAGTGCCTTGCAAAACTCATACCCTTCTTCAGCCGGTTCTTTCAAGCAGGAACTGGTCGAGCCGGTTATTAAACCCATGTTGGATTTCTTGAAACAAACCGGTTCTTACCTCATGGTAAATGCGTACCCGTTTTTCGCTTACTCTGCAAATTCGGATCAAATCTCACTGGATTACGCTTTGTTAAAGGACAACCCGGGTGTAGTGGACTCGGGTAACGGTTTGAAATACCACAGCCTTTTCGAAGCTCAAATCGACGCCGTTTTCGCAGCCTTGTCGGCCATTCAGTACGGCGACGTAAAGATGGTGGTGACTGAAACAGGGTGGCCTTCAATGGGAGACGAGAATGAAATTGGTGCTAGCGAAGACAATGCGGCGTCTTACAATGGTAATTTGGTACGGAAAGTATTGAGTGGAAGTGGGACTCCTTTGAGACCTCAAGACCCAATTAACGTTTACTTATTTGCCTTGTTCAACGAGAATCAAAAACCCGGTCCAACTTCGGAAAGGAATTACGGTTTATTTTACCCTAATGAACAAAAGGTATACAACATACCATTAACAGAAGAGGAGGCAAAAGGAGGGCAGTCAACGCCGGTCAATGGAAATACTAGTCAGGCTCCTGTTGCCGGAGAAGTGTCGAAGACTCAGGTTGGGCAGACTTGGTGCGTGGCAAACGCGAAAGCCGACCAGGCGAAGTTGCAAGCGGCGTTGGATTATGCTTGCGGTGAAGGAGGGGCCGATTGTAACGCTACTCAACCCGGCGCCACATGTTTTAGTCCGAACACGCTGGAAGCACATGCCTCGTATGCCTTCAACAGCTATTATCAGAAGAAGACACGCGCCGCCGGTACGTGCGAATTCGGCGGTGCGGCTTATGTTGTCTCACAGCGTCCTGGTATCTTACTGTATTTTGTTAATTACAAACAAATTAAATCATTATTCGATTTAACTCATGAATATCTATAATTTTGTTTGATTTTTTTGAATGGCAGCTTATGGGAATTGTGAGTTTCCAACGGGGTACTGAAGTGGAAATGACTTGGTGGATTTCAGCCACAGATTTGTTGGGCTACAAATTCAACAATTTCTTCTTCTTCTTCTTCTTCTTATAGAGCAGGATGAAAAGAGTAGGTGAAGTTATTCATTAGTTGTTTTTACTTTTTCTTGTTTATAGTTATGTGGTCCTGTTTGTATTTATTGTTATTATCGCCTATGAATTATTTTAATATTCATACATTATGAATCGGTTAGAAATTATTTTAATATTTATACTTCTTCTCAATTAATATTTTAAAGATTAAATAAATAACAACTTTTTAATTCAATTATAAATGATCACATAATAACATTTTTAAATGTATTAATAAAACGAAAACAAAGGCTAAGGCATCGGGCACAGGGCAGAAAAATTATAAATGCTTGAATAGAACAATCAGGGCCTTCATCTTGCAGGACGAGTTCAATCGATTAGGCGTTCGGGTGAAAGCTTGAATACAAATGGAGGACTGAATTAGCTTTTCACTGCTGATAAAAATTATTGTGGTGAAGGATTCAACAAACCTACTGTAAATTCGAACAATATACTCTGATAATTACAGAATATATGTATAATATTTTATCTTCTCAAATGACTTGATTGATTAACATAACATGTTTATGATTGTTATTAGAAGTCCCAGAGGGAATCATTCACTCGAGAATGATTGATTGAATAATCATGATTTTGATTGGTTTGTTATGCAAAATTTGTCACAATAAGAAATATGAATTTTCAGATTCTTAAAAAAGACATTTATAATCAATTAAGATCTCAAATAACTCAAGTATTGTTGTTAGTGTGTTATGCACACGAAGGGCAACAACATTTGGACGATAGTCATTACCTAATTGATTGATGATAGAAATCAACACCCATGCATTAGAAATAGGACAATTGTCAAGACAAGAACAGAGGCAATATCATGCTTGTCTTTCATATAATCGGAGATAGATCTAAAACCATGCAGATTACGAGCCAGCTTGGATTTGAGATCAAGAATGCGACTAAAAGATGCTCAAGCATAACTTGCGACTGGAGTATCTCGTGCCATTTTAACGACCACAACGGATGGAATGAATGGTTTAACTAGATCATCACAACTGTCATGAAGAATTGATAAAAATTTAATCCTGACGATACCATTGTAGATATTCAAGATTACCAATTTTTGTTGTGGCATTGATAAAATGATATGAGGAAGGTTGTTATCCATCGATATAACGGATTAGCCCAAAACTAATAAGAGTGACCTTATAAGCTGAACTTTGTGGGGGCGAAGGGAGCCTTAACTCCCATCAATTATTTTTTAAGTTTAATTAATATTAAAATATATATATTGTCAAAAAGGTAAAAGGGTAACTTTTGCCCCTCAGTATATCCAATTTAACACTTTTGCCTATATCATATTTTCTCATTAATTTAGTTATCGAAATTGTTCAATTGTATCATTCTATACTCTACTCCTAACATAAAACCCTAAATTATAAACTTTACACCCTAACCCCCAACTTAAGGTTTATAATTTAGGGATAGGGTATAGAATGATGTAATTGAGCAACTTTGAGGGCTAAATTGATGCGAAAATATGATATGAACGAAAATGATAAATATATATATTAGAGGGACAAAGGTGACCTTTAAACCTTTGAAAAATAACTAAAAAATTTATTAGGTCTCCTCAATTTAAAAAACTATATTTATAAAAAATAAAAAATATTTTAACTCCATTATAATAAATTCCTAATTCCGTAGATCCAAAACCTCGAACACATGCAGGGCCAGCCCCGGGCCAGGGCAGGAGGGGCTCCCACCTAGGGCCCACAAAATAAATTTTTTTAGTACAATATTTTTGTTAATTTTCTAATAATAAATTAAAAAATTGTAAAATAAAATAGAGTAATCTATGAATTTAGTACCTAAACTATTAGTTCCGATTCGTTGTGGTACTTAAACTTTTAATTTTTTTCAAAATCATATATAACGTTTAGTTTTCATTTCATTTTAGTATCCGTCGTTAAAAACTTAACGCGTTTAGTACCTAACTATCAGTTTTGGTTTGTTTTAGTACCTAAAATTTCAAAAAAAAATTAAAACTTAACGTTCAATTTTGAATGTGTACTAAAATGAAATAAAAAGACTAAAGTTTTTAACGGTGAGTACTAAAATCAAACAAAAACTAAACTTTACGTATGGTTTTGAAAAAAATTGAAAGTTTAGGCACTAAAACAGACCAAAACTGATAATTTAGGTACTAAACACGTAATTTACTCAATAAAATAATGGTGCCCATGAATTTATTAAGGTGTGAATTATCTTTATTGAATTTTATATTAACTGTCGAAACGATTTTTAAAACGTGTGGGGAAGCGAGATTTGGAAAAACCACGTCATTTTTAATTATTCTCTTTATGTTTGATTTTTAATTAAAAACAATGTGATTTTAGAAGACCTCTCGTTTCGAAAATTTGGAAATTCCTTTTACAATAAAAACATATGGTTCGAGGAGTCGCCACCAATCTTTGATTAGGGTGTGATTGGGCACCCAAAAACATTGTCATTTTATAAAAAAATAATTTTAATTAAAACGACAAATTTGCGGTCTACATTACCAAAATCCGGGTTCGGGAGTCGGTTACGCGTGGGGAAGGATTAGCACCCCCACAACGCCCTAAATCGGTACCTCATCGATTAATTAATGTCTTTGCAATGAAATTTACAAATTCGAATTTAATTTGGTTTATGATCCCCGACAAAACAACACATGAATTTTACGACATTCAAAAATGCCAAAATAGATTAAATTAAAATTATCAAGCCTTTAGAAAGATAAAGAATATTCGATTATTTAAAAATATTGAGACCAGATCTTTAGGTCAGTTCTAACGACATTTTCTCAACAAATTTAAATAGCCGAACATTTCTTTTTCTTTCACTCCCAAATTTTAAAGTAATGAATCAATTTTTAGATATCACTAATGGGATACACTTTTAATTTAAAATCGTCAAAAGCGGATCCCTAATCAGTTAAGACAACCCACTTAAAACAATTTTAAATTAAAAGGGTATTACCCTTAATCCAATTATATAATAATGTCAAGTTATGCACATGAGGGTATCATACAAATTGTACTACTAATTGATAAAATGATACAAACATATCAAAATGAATGTAAATAAAAATTATTAACAAGGTTAATAAAGTTTAGGGTTCGATGAAAAACATATATTCTAACAATGATCGTGATATTAATTTGTTTTAAAAAACAAGTAAAAGTAGAATTTATATCTACTAATATACACATGTAACAGATTAATTAATTATTACAAACTACTTAATTTACATATGATTTATTAAACCTATGTGAAACCTATTTAGTTAAATCCTACTTTATACTCATGCCTTTGCATATGGATTATTATGACAAAATAATATCATAAGGATTAAAAAATGTAAAATAACCTTAAAACTAAAATCATAAATTAAACAAAAATCAAGTCATAAAACATAACTCCTTACATTTCATTTACTAATATTGAAATAAACCTAATAATGCATGTAGGACTAAAATATAGATTTCAAAAGGAGCATACCAAATGTACAAACAAAAGAAAATTCATAATCACTGGATTCCGGGACTAAAATGCCAATTAAAAATATTACATATTAAATAAAAAATGACATATAACTTAGAATCATCATAATAAAGGACCATATTGAGAGTCATGCTAAATATAAAGGCAAAAGTAGAAAATCGAAAAGGCTTAACCTAAGGACTAAAACATAACGAGCGTAAAACTTTATTGCAGAATCAAAAGTATTAAAAATAAAGAGACATGGACTGAAACGCATTAAAACAAAACTTGGCGGGTACATACCTAAATAACTCCAAGCGCTAAAACAAATATTCTTTACTGTTGATGAAACGGTTCCATTTTAGCAAATTGATATATAATATATTATAAAATTTAAACCCTAATTTTCCTTTGTTTAAATCCCTTAGTGCCGCAATCTCTCTTTTCATTTCCCCAACTCTCTGCTTCCCCTTTCACGGCACCATTGGAACCCTCTCTCCATTCAAACTCCACGGCAGAAACCTTAACAGCGCCCTGTTTTCATCGTTTGAAGAACCACAAAGGCCCGACCAGTCGGCTACCTTCTTCAAAGTGGCTCACCATTAAAATCGACATGGTAAACTAAATCCCTTCCCTAAACCAACTCGAATCTCCTATTTCTTACCTTAAAACCCCGATTTCGAACTCTCACCACAACTTCCTTTTCCCACCGTACATCGGCGTTACGCTCACGTCGACCACCACCAGAGGTAACCGATTTTCTCACCACCTAAACTGAACCTATCTACCCTCAAAACGACCCTCCTCCTTCTCGCCTTCTCGACCGAATAACCCCCGATGTTCGGCCAAGGCAAAGCTACCACTTTCCTTCTATACTATTTTACTTTCAATCGAAAGCATGTACCTTTAGAAACTAAAAAACGTAAGTAGAAAATAAAAACAACTTGAAATCTCTTGTTTTGGTATGATTTATGTCTTAGATAAGTAACAGCGAGAAAGAACTAATTCTGCTTACATTTCTTGCTTGGTTCTATGGAAATAACAATTGATTCAATGTTGGTATTGCTACGAAAAACTGTATATTGAAACTAAAATCTTATTTTTCATTCTCTGTTTTTTATTTGCTTTGAAATGAATCCCACACACACAGTACTAAAACCATAGGAAAATGAATATACATATTACCTTAATAAGCTGTTATTGCTTTCGAAGAGAATCGAGAATTACAAGTAGTTTCTTTTTGGTTTTTTTTTTTGCCCTCATTACCACCCCCTCTCTTTTATGGTTGCTTCCGATCCATCTTTAATCTGTCTCCATTTTGTCTTTGCATGCGTGATTGTTGGATGATGAATGATTGATGTGGTAAGTAGAAACCCCAAAAATTTCAAGGTTTAGGTAAGAAATTGGTGGGATTTGTTTTTTGACTTTGTTGTGTGGAATTTTCGATGGCTGATTTGTTTTTGTTTTCTGTCTTGTAGCTAACTTGGGGT